ATAACCTTTTCTATCTATGTGTGGCGTGGACAAATCAGAGTGTTTAATTAGTACCAAAGGAACTTAAAAAGAAAATATAATTAAATAAAATCACTCACATGTTAGAAATGATGACTAGGGTCATGTTTACAGGGGGTTCAGATTACACAGAAAAAAGTTTCCATTTTCCTCAACGGTCCTGATTTTGTCACAGAGTTTTCATTTATAGTGCGACTGTGCTCAATAAGCATAAAGAAAAGCTCTCAACACTGCTGACAATTTTCATTCCAGTAAGATTATACTCTAATATAGAGGGGAAATAAGTAACCATTAAATTTCAGATTTCATTCCTGCATGCTACCCTCATGCTACTTCTCAGAAATAGAAATAAACAAAAACATCACATCTAGTATAAACAGGAATCTGTGACAGAGGATGGTCTGAACTTTTCTTTTTAATACAGTAGTGTCCCCACCCCCAAGAAAATTAGACTGTGGTGTTGCCCCCTGCCTTCTGTCTGGCAGCTTCTCCTCCTTGTGCCCTACATAAAGAGGGGCAGCTCTAGTTTTCTTTGTCTTTGAACCACATAGCAAACTATGGGAGGCTGCACTCCCCTTTTCGTTTCTCCCAAGAGAACAGCACACTCCTGTGACCTAAGGGGCAATAAAACCCTGCCTTCTGAAGCTGTATACCTGCCTCCTGCCTCAACAGTGTCTCCATTCTCCATTGGGGGCATTTTGCCACAATACTGTAACTACCCTGCAAAAATAAACATTGGATCATTTACACTAAGCATAGACATACATGCTATGGTTCGTCTCATAATTATATATGTGGATTACAATAAGCATCCATCGATTAAATGCGATAAAGGATGCATTTTAGGTTTTGCTTGATAGCTGGTCTTTCTTAGCAGGAGTTCTTTAATGCACATTTACCATTGTATACTGACATGAAAAGATAGGGAAGCATGCTCACTTTTAGTATTATTTAATAACTGGGTTAAACGTAGCTGAGGATCCAGGGACACAAGCATAAATTAAGAGGATTATGAGTTGGATTGATGATTCAGAATTGGATGCACTTCTGTACACAAAGGGCTACTGATGTCTGGAACAAGCTATCTAGCCATAGTGTTCAAGCACATTGGCTGGAATAGATGTCTGGCTCAAAAAGCTACTGGCAATCAAAGCAGCAAGAAGGACCCAATGGTCTTTTCTATTTACATCTTTTCTTGAGTACCTTCAAAACCAAACACAAGAGGCCTGTCTTTATACACGTGAGGCTGCATGAAACAACATACCCAGCTATGTTGCTGTATTGGATTAGAGGGAATCCTTCAAGAAATGACTGGGTGAGATTCTCAGATCAGATTGACGATTGACAACATACCTGGAGACAACTGAGCCAGGCAGGCTGCAAGGCCTCCTCTCATTTGCAATCTTTCTTATATCATAATCCAGTAGGTCCCAGTTCTGATCCTGGAGGTCAGCTCTGTTTTCTGCTTCTCACTTCAATTGATTTCTTAATCAATTAGTTGAAAGTATCGGTAGCTAATGGATAAGAAAGTTTGTTCAGTTCACAAAAACTTGAATGGTGTCACCCCTGAAAATATAACAGGGTCATTCCCACTAGACATGATTACTTTGGAGGGCTGTTTAGACAGAATAAAAGTAGTTATTAATAAATTCTTTAAAAGTGGTGATTAATGAAGGTAGCTGAGGAGTGAATGGACTGCTGAATTTCTCCGCATCAAGAGACTTACAGCAGAGTATTTCTGAGACCAAAGACCAAGTGCGGAAACAGGGTTTAGAAGATCTAAACAAGGAAGAAGTTAAATTTAAACAGATCAATTAACCTCAGATTAAAAGCTCAGTTAGAACAGAAACAAGAGGCTCTCCAGAACCAGGGTGGAGAAACTCTTCTAGCCTCTGGTGTCAATTTGTTTGATTATTTCTAAGAATGGGGGGAAGATTAGTTATAAGCAATCAGAACTTGATTTACTTTCAGAAAACTGTACTAGAGAATTATGAAAGATTTGAATACTTGTGACTCTGTAAAGCCTACCTCAGTTAAACAAAAATACATTCCTTTTAGCTAAAACTGTAAGTAGCTGTTGCTGAACCTTCACGTCAGATGCCCCTCGTGATTCTCACCACTTTCTGCTTTGTCCAAGTGGTTATTAATAAAAGATTATTTTATATATATATAGATTTCTATATCAATGATCAAAAACCTTCTCACCCTTTCCATTTATGTTTAGCACCTGTAATCTGCAAATGCTGTTATTGACCATTACTGCTTTACTATAGGTTGACATTTTTGCCATATGTGTTAGTAGGTACCTGCATGAGCATGTGAAGGCTATAAAGGAACAGGTAAAGGTTTAATCCATGCTGAAAGGTATAGAAAAGCAACACAATGTTTCAGGTGTGGAGCCCTGTGGAGCCTTTTTCAGGTGTGAGGGAGAGAGGGAAAGCAGATATAAAAGGCATAGAAGAAAAAAAGAGAAGGTAGGAAAGGGTGGGAGCAGTGAGGAAATGAGCAGAAAGCAGGTGAGAATGAGTCTCAAAACTGAGGGAGAACAGAAGGGTAGGTGTGGAAAGCCGAAATCTGCAAATGAATACCGATGATTTAGAAGGAGATGAGTTTATACTTGAGAGAAAGTGGAAGGTGTGATCCAAGCTTAAGGATAATTTTAATTTCAGATGTCTTTCTGCAGTAGGAGTTCTGAAACCCCTCTGTGAGAGCACAGACAGAGAGATGAGAAAGATCCCGTCCATTAGAAGTGAAAGGGGGAACTATCGGTTTGGGGAGATCTTTGATCCTCACAGATCTGAGATGATCCCTGTAACGGTCTCCCGGTCTTCTACCTGTCTCACCAATGAATGACTTGGGATTTTCTACATGAGATGCAGTACATTAGGTTGCTGGAAATACTGTACATTATATAATCTGTGTGACACGGAATTGTCCAGTGGGGTCTTGAATGGGCATGGTATTAGATATATCTTTACAGTTGATGCCACAGGTTCTGTTGGAGGGGAAAGTGCCTGGTGTGGATGATTGCTGTGGGTGGTCAAAGGAGCTGTGAACAAGAAGGTTATGCAGATTAGGTGGTCCGTAATATGAGTTGATGTGGTGGTCGGAAAAGAGGGTACCAGTCAAGGGATCATCTTGTAAAATGGGGTAGTTGTCATTCATGAAGAAAGGGTGTTAGGGCGATAGGGAAGCACCAATAGAATGTGATTGTGAGTCCAGGAGTTCCAACCTCCCAGATATTTTTGCCATATTGAGCTTCTAGAACTAATGTAACAATTTTGGCTTCAGACTAATCTATAATACTGGGTGTGCCCAACACCTGAAAATTATCCCAGTCCTGGAGGGACACACTCCAGTCAGTTGTATAGGCCTTTTTAAATCAGCAGCCCTTTAAGAGCTGGGAAAAGTTGCCAAGCTTCCACAATTAAGTCAGAAATTGGGTCAATAACAATGGAGCTGGAATTAATACCTGCTTAGATAAGAGCTATGGTTTTTGTGCAGTCCAAACTCATTTGACAATTTCTCAATACGTGAGTGCTGCTTAGCAGCCATGCAGTTGCTAAAAGCTTCATCTACATCTCCAGTATGGATTAAACACTCTGCTCAACCTGCCAGTGTGTGTAGATTATGCTTTGAGCTTATCAGTCACCTTCAGGTCCACAGAAGACAATCATCCACGACCACAGGGCCAGCCAGTGAATGAACAAAGATACTGCCTTCAGACTCACAACCATTTGTCAGTACTTGGCTCAACTCCCCACTGATAATTTCTCAATTTTCTAACCCTCTTGTTTAGTTTTGTAATCCGATACCAAAACAGACCTGAAGTGCATGAATGGACAGTGAATCCTTTTTTTTCTTGCCACTGCTAGAGCCATGTTTCATATTACACGTAAAATGACACCCTCGGAGCAGGAATATGCTAACTCATGTTACATCTCCCTTTTTAATATAACAAAGGGGAAATAACATTCTGCTAATGTACCAATAAAATGATTTGCCTCAGGCTGCGACGGCAAGCCATAAGTATTGCTTATAGGGGTGGCATGATTGTTTAAGCAATTTTTCGAGTACTATATATACTACCATCAGCTCTTTTGCACTCATGGCACAAAAGATTTAATCAAAGCCGTAATTTAAGATGAAAAAGGCATAACGAGGTGAAAAAAATGTACTTGAGAAAGGTGAGCTGTACGGTAATACTGTGTTTAACCGCGACAGTAGTGCTTTGTCGCTAGGTGGCGTTTCTCCCTTACGAATAATACTGCGCAGTTTATTCACCGCCCTAAGGCTTCCCTTAATTTATGTGCAGCTGGTAGTCACGGATCGAATTTGTCTCTGCAGCTTCGACCGCTGGTGTGCGTCAAGCTTTCATTTCGCATCCCTCCTTCACTTTTTAATATTACAAATTGGAAGTATTGATCGCCTCATTGCGAGATGCTCATTATTTTACAGTTTTATTTTCAGTGCATTTTGTTTGATTCCCTTCACGTGTTACATATTAGAAATGAAAAGAAGCCGCTTATTTCCCAAATCACAATGCAACTCAAAACGCTAAACTCGAATGGGCTGCTCTATCTTGTTTTTCTCGTCTGAAACTTGTATTAAAAACAAGATTCACTTTACAAAAAATGACAAGGTGGTTTCTTTCCCAGTGTGGGAAAAGACTATCCACATCATCGCATTTTCTAGCTTTCTGGCTGTTAATTTCTCAGTCTATTTCAACACTAAGAAGTTTTTCCAGGGCTAATTAGATCCTAAACGGATTCTAATCCATCATCGCAGGTTCACCTGAGCACCTGCCCGCGTCGAGATACACTCCTGTTGTGTTTTAAAGTATTTTCTCCTCCCTCCCTCAGTTTATGCTGCACCTGACCTGACGCCTCCCTCACTACTCCCCCCCACCTCTTTTTTTTTACACACGATTTCTGTTTTTGTGCAAATCTGATCCAGGCTGCTTCCCCTCACGTCAAACCACATGATCCCATAAAACATTCATCAGCTCTCAATCCCTGATCCAGCCCCATAAAACATTCATCTTTGCTTTTCTCCCCACTCACAAGCCCACCCCCCCCTTTCCCACTTCCTCCTTTGCAATCCCATGCAAAAGCTTATAGTGCGCAGTATTATAGTCAATTTCCCTCAACAGACACAGGCTACACGTACTTTGGGATACCTCTGTGTTAGAATTTCAGACCGGGGACGGCAGGATCTGCGTTTCAGCATCCGTGGATTGCTTTGGGCTTCTCCCAGTTTCCTTCAAGGCTCTGTCACACCTTGGATTGCTGCTGCTGTTGTTCTTTTTTTTGTTCGCTCTTTTTTTTGGGGAGGGGGGTTGTTTTCTGAAAGGGATCTTCCGTCTGGATGTAAATCGTAGTTGTGTATTCCTTGCGCTCCCCAAATGACTGATCTTAGTTCGCTGGGGAGACTTGGTTCTCCGCTCCGCTTCTATAAGCAAACCTTTGGCTAAAGTTTTCATGGACCGGTTCTCAGTGATCACCGGTATTTTGGATTTGGCGTTATTTCCAGTTTAAACTGCGTCTTTTCCGTCAAAGATCACAAAAATCAAGTATCTTGTTTTCGTTAACAGGGTGCCTTCAGCTGGAATTTATTTTAGTAAAAATGAAGACCACTGTTGCAGAAGGTAGGTGGACGCTGCATTTCAAATGTCATTCAAAAACTTATTTGAATAATGTTGGGAACATGTCTGCGTTAAGGTTTTTTTTACTTGTGGTGTTAGATGCAGTACCCACCTTTGCTTGAGCAGTTAGACGCATAAAACGTTTTCGGATCAGTATCTTGAATGCAATAAAAACATAAAAATTATATTAGCAGCTTAAGCAGCCTTGTTTTTTTTTTCAAAAACCACATCAGTTCTCTCAAATGCCTTAGGCAAAAGGAGACCATTAAAGAACTAAGCAAACTGCACTGTGAATATTTCTAAATTATTTAAGTCAGCCTGTTTGTATTCACTGATAACTAAATTGCCATGCTTGCTCCCAAAACGAATAAATGTTTTCCAGGATGTTGAAACTACCAGTAAAAACATTGCAGAGACACACGGACTTTCAAATAGGCAATCTATTCAGTTTAGTCCGTTATTCTTTTCTAAGTGGTGCTGTGACATTCAAATATTTTCTGTGGAGCCTGTAAAAGTCTGATACCTAGCCAGTCCGCACAAAGGTGAAAACGCATATACAGGGGCATGAAAGTATTTTGTGTGCATTTTTGTTTTGTGAGATTTAAATTTCTGGCGGATAAATGCAGGCAGTAATGTTCTTGAGAATGGACACGCCTCTTCAAACAGTCTTTTTATGCATTTCATGTTCTCCAGCAGCCTGAGAGTCATCTTACACCATCACAAATTGGAGCCCAAATCGCTAGGTGCGTTCTTGTGGCTCGAAGCCAGCTTTCTGTGTTTCTTAGTCTCAAGTTTCTAAGCCCCCTTTTGCGTCTAGCGCCGGCTAGTATGCATAAAACCCATCTTATCAATGCTCACTGTGTTTTGGTACGAAGCATAAGCAGCCACAAAACTCCGTGTTGCCGAGGATTTTTAACAGGGTACCTGGGCTGTGAGACTTGTTTTGAGGGCTGAGGATTTTGCACAAGAAGGTGCGGTAGCACACCGGAGTCCGGAGGGGATAGATAGGAGCGGTTTATCCCCAGTATCTTCCCGGTACAGACGAAGGTGGCATTTTAAAACGGCTGAGCAGATATTTGACGTCCCATGTGAAATTCTATTGAATATTCTGCGGATGCACACACACTTCAAGACTTCAATTTAATATCTATGTATGGGGAATCGTATATTTGAAAAGGTCCTTTAAGGAACACATGGATGATAGTTTAAATTCGTTTTATCCATTCTGTTTGTGGTGTTAGACGAGATACCTAATTTCGAACATCAGAGCGCAGATCCGAAAGAAAAGAATCCCTGCATTATTATCTAAAGTAAATCATTTCCACTAAATGCTCGACTTAAAACTGTAAAAAGCGAGCACGATTCACTGCAGCAACTGATTTTCTTTGCATTTATTGAAACGTTTAATTTCTTATTCAAAATCTGAAGATGAGAAGATCTTCTTTCTAACCTATTTAATTAGATCATTCATAATAATGCCACTAGAAAAGGGGTGAAGTGGCTATTTTATTAAAATGAAGGTCTGAGCCCTCAATGCCTTATTAAGAACCAGATTGACAGATGCAGCTTTGTTTGAAACTTTATAGTAATCCTTTAAGTTACAGGTTAACCACATACATAAACAAAGAGAAAATGCTTCCAATTATTATACAATATAGTTTGTCTCTCTGGAATAATGGATTTTGCAAGTCATTATGTATTACAGCTTTCCTAGATGCTTGCGGCAACATATGCCATGAAAAAACTTCTTGTTTAAAAATTGTATGCCTACATTTATTCCGAAGGCCCAAACAGCTAAGTAGAAAAAATGAATTTGAAAATCGTAAATTTCCTGAATGCCTTTGGGGGGCATTTGTTAAATTGATTTAATCAATATTTGGCCGCATAAAATGGGGGAAAGGGCTGCATTCCCACCTCAGACTACAGAATTTACAATAATTTTGCAAAACCACAAGCATGCTGAATCCATTTAATTATGAGCAAACTGCTTTGAAAACATCTTTCCAAAGCTGTCTAGCAAGATGCATTACGACTAGCTTTTGGAAAACCTTGGGAGTCACAGTGTAAATCTCCTGAGGTCATGTGTCCACAGGTTCCCACACACTGCTGAACTATGGTTAATACCATCTTCTGTTTTTTAGACACATCACAAATAATGACCCTTTGGGAAGGGCACAGCAAAAACAGTTTTAATTTCTTGCGCTAGACAACACAAGTTGAAAAAAACAAATCAAGTGCACATAATGCTGAGACTGTATTAGTATTACAATATATTACATTTAATAATGCCCCTGCAGCCATCAATAAAGACCTGAAATATTGTACCAATACCATATATGGTAATTAAGTATATAAGCCAATTAGGCAATGGTATCTAGCTATTTTATGGTTTGACCCATTATTGCTAAGGGCATGATTGTATCTTGTTATGCATTTAAGCTGTCAAAGTCTGGGATGTACAGTTACAGATTTGATCATTCGGTCATTATATTGTCAAATCTGTATATTGAAAATCCATATTAGAGGCTTTAGGGTGTTTAGCACTGCTGAACTGTTACCTTGTAACAATATACCTTGACAAGACCCTTCATTGAAGCTGTAGTATCAGTTCCATTCCTGTCTGCTTTCTAGGATCAGTTTAAAAAATATAAAAAATAAACATGTAGTAAGGAAGTATATAATTTGACATTTTTGGTACAGTGTACATGAAAAAACATGTACTGTATGTTTGCAATCATATTTTTAGATGCAAGGCTTTCTTTATTTGTATGTTTAATAAAAACATAATAAAATGTATTTTTATTACATCAACATTAAACAACACCAGAGAGAATATCCATTCTCTGTGCAGGTGTGACTGTATGTTTGCATAGAAGGCAGTGTTCTAATGGTAGCACAGCTGTATTAGAGAAATCTTGGCTGAAATATGCTATAGCTTACAGCAGTATGACAGTGGGGAAATACAACAATTACACATTTTAACATTTTATTATTAATAGAGTATAAGGAGACATATGTGGGGCACGTGGAAGAACTCATGTTTAATGTTACATATGATCACATTTGTTTAGTCATTTATACTGAATGATAACTTCTGATGTCCAAGGATGATGTGAACCCACACTACAACCAATTTATCAGCGCACTGCAATATGTAACCTCTACTGCCTGTACTGCAAGCACCATTGTGCTCATCCCAGATAATAATCTCTTGGGGACTTTGTACAAAACAGATCATCCATTGCTAGACTAGTGCATATGACTACAAATGGCATAATTCATCAACAAGGGTGTATCAGATCATGCACCCCTTTATTTTTCATAAGGTGGGATCTCTCACTTGCCTGAGTATTCAAAACTATTTCAATCAGAACCAGGTTGCTTAAAATACATTCACTGAATTAAAAAGCAGAAACGTCCGAGACAAATCATTCAGTGCTCCTATACCACTCCCTGAAGGATTCTACTCTCGTTGATAAAGGTGTTGGATGTGTTCAGGAGGCACCTTTAATTGAAGGTGTACAGATAAGATGTCAGGCTTTAACAGGTGAAACGTTGATTATCATCAGATACTAGATCTGTGCGTGAAAATTGTTCTCTATTCCTGTTCCCTTGGGGACAAGCAGTTTGCTACTGGTATTAGAAATGTGTGAATTATTGTGTGTTTTTCAGGATTAAATATGTTATTTTAAAGCAGGCATTCTCAGTCCTGGACCTGCGAATACACACACAAGCTGGTTTTCCTTTTAGCTATGGTCTTCACTTAATTTAATTCCCAACTGAACTAATGAGTTATTTAATTGAAGACTTTGCAAGTTTTTTTTTCTCCTCTAAAGTTGGAGACCCTAAATTATAGAAGCAAATTATAGAAGGCAAGCTCTAATGTGATTAGGAACTGAAAACAAACTAATCCTTTGATTAGGATAATTAATCTTCAATTATGTAACTTATGTAGAGTTCAGCTGGAAAGAAAACATGAAACCCTAATCTACACATTTTTATTTTAATATGTAGAAAACCTGAGAGATCATGGCCTACAAACTCAGAATTAGCTCTTAGGGATGCTGGAGTTATTAAATTGATGACTTGGAGAGTTAGGGCAAGTAAATTTATTGCAAGAAAGAAAAGCAGAACACAAGCACAGTTAATCCTTTTTCCAAAATATTTCTGAATAAAGAATTTAAAATGGCAGCACATGGTGAGAACATGTTTTGAGAAAATAAAATTAGCAAATGTTTTGTTAAAATAATAAAGATAAACTTAAAACATCTGATATATAATAATGAAAAGTCTGAGTGTGCTTTAAAAACGAGAGAGAGCTGTGATGTGTAGCATTCGGACAGCAGGAGATTTATTTGTATCCTGAAGATCCACTACATTGTCAGTGGCCTCCTTATAATCCATTTAACAAAACCTAATCTCCACTCAGCAACAAAGATTAAAATACTCCTATGGTGCCTTTTCTCATGGGATTTTTGAAGGGATTTAAGAACAGGATTTTATAAATAGCTCAAGAACAACAGAAAGGACAGAGAGTAAGTAGGGAGTTCCAGCAGAATCAATCTAGGTAGAGGTTAACTTGAACCGGATAGAGTTCACAATGGCTTTTAAATGGTACAACAGGCCAGGAGAATAGATTATTCAGATTTAGACGATCTCCCCAATGTGCCACATATAAATCTTTTAACTAATTGTTGAGCTAGCCCATCTCTCACTCATTTAGATATCCATTAGTAGGACACAGTCAATTGGATTAAAGCTAATTGTTGAAGGACTAAATGCATCCTCTGTTCCTGAACAGTTGCATGCTATAGTCCTTGTCAGCACCTCAGTATGTCTCACATGAAATTTTAATCATTTAATCTGCTGGAAATGGGAGGGAGGGGATGGAAGGACGAAGGGGTGCATTTGTAAAACTGATTGGTGGAGAAACTGACTGATGGGGTAATAAATTGTTAATTAGGCAGAGAAGAACCAGGCCTTTTTAATTAAGTAGCTTACTG